CCGTTTTCTCAGTGGATTAAATTATTCTAAGGTATTGTAAAGGAGGAAACAGTTGTGGACGTTGAGAATGTTTGAAAATCTGCTGCATACGCGTGCAATTGAATAGGGACTCGGCTGCTGCGTCTGTTCATTGCATTCCGTTTCTACTTATTGCCAGAACGAATACAGGCGTTACAGATGAATCTTCGCAATCGATTTCCTCGAAGACGAAGTCTCAAAGGAAGGAATATTATTCCATATTTTTTCACGTAAAATCGTTACCAGTTGTGGGACACTCTTTATTTAAATTTCGCGAATGGCCGAGCAAGGTTATACCCAGCGAGGATATACTTTAGCCGGGGCAAATGCAGTCCTATCCTATCGAGAGATCTCTCGTGGGGGGGGGGGGGGGGGTGATACGAGTACGAAGATAACTCGAACGTGCACCGTTAAATAATGAATTTACTGAAAGCATCGGTGAGAAGTCTCCAGGTCCAACACGTTTATTGCTCGGAGCATTATATTCACGGGCACAGAGGAATCGAATTAAAGGATCGAAGAACGAAGTCGTTCGACGGAAACGTGACCGTGAATGTCTTCCCTAACCGTTTCACGGTTGAAATATAAAAATGCATCGAACGACGCGAGGCGTATTAACTTCGCGACGGGGAAACTTTCTTCGTTTACTTCCCGCGCTACCAACGTCGCGTTCCCTTGAACCAGGAAGGGGTAAATGTTCCACGAAGCGAGCCGAAGGTCAGCCGACGGTCTTCCATTGACGATTGTTTCCTTGGAATTTCGACGATTCTCGCGAATTAGAGGACGAGAATGGATTACAGTGGTATAAATGAAAAACACGACACGATTTTCTGTAGTGGAAAATTTGTTGATACGTGGAAGGCCACGTATAAAATTTATTAACATAGACGCCCACGATGGCGTTCTATGCTCTGCCAGCTAATATACAGATTTTAATATATTCGAGGTTCAAAACGAAGAATACGAGACGGCAAAGAAAGATGGAGAAGGCGTGATTGAAAGGATCGACACGAGGCTTTCACGGATTCTTTCTATCGCGAGGCATCCCTCTTTGAGGATAGGCGCAACCAGGAGCATCGTTCCGTGTACACGAACAGCTTTGAACCGCTTAAAAAAAAAGAAAAAAAAACGAGACGGAGCAACCTACGAAACTCTCGGAACGGCGGAGAAAGTCTCTTTCGCGGAAGAGAAAATTGTCTCCCGGCCTTTATTGGATCCTCTCGCGACGGGATCACGGTGGATCGTTCGAAATAAAGGAAAACCGTCGACAGTAATTGTCGTCGAGAGGAGAACGTCTTTCTTCGTGTCCCGGCGACGGGGAAGTGAATTGTCATGATACGGGCGACTGGAATGAAATTTCAATTAAGTCGATAGCGAAACGTCGCTGCTGCCATCGTCCTCCACGATCGAAATATCCTCGAGAGAGAAAGAGGATTTTCTCTCATCGGGCCTTGGTAAACAAAAAAAGAAAAACGAAGTTCGACCCTCGATTATGAAACTTCTAATTATGAGACTCCTGGAAGTATCTACTTACAAGTAATTGACTCTATCGTTCGAGCACCCTTAATTAGCGATGCTTTCTGCCCCCGAGAAAAAAACAGAAGACTTCGCAGTCGCCTCTTCGTAAGTATTAAAAGCAGGATACACTTTCGGGAAAATTATTCGAGGGAAAAACTATCGCCTTTAAGGGCGAGAGGGGATGTCTTTCGAGGGCCACGCAAATGGGAGATCATTATGGACAGCTATCCCTTTTAGGAACGTTCATCCATCACCATTTGATTCCGTCTCGAGACCATTCCGGACCGCATCTCGAAAGTCGAATAAAAAGCTCGGGGACAGTACTGTCTTCGTAAAACGACTATGCCCAAGCGGGAGATCCTTGGATCAATCCATAAATTCCGGTTCCTCGTGATCGGTGCTCTCTGAAAGCGTCTAAAACTCGGCGTTTTTAACCAACAAGTCCCGTTTTGCGAACACAACCGGTTGAACATTGAAACGTTTCCAAACTGCCACCGCTTAATTTTTCATTCGCGAAACGTAACAGGGAGGCAATTACGAGGAACTCTGTTGAGATTTATTCGTACTGGACGTATGAATGCGTAAACCGGGGGTGGAAGTGTGGTGTTACAATTAAGTTTAGAACAATTAAGTAACCGTGGTTAATTACATAAGACTCGGGGCAAATCGCTTTGAAAATGAGTGACAAAAAAAACAACACGATTATTTATACCGGAGCTCTCTGTCTTCGTGAAAGATGGACGACAATGTGTTTCTTTGCAAGAACTACTCGCGATGAACGAGGCGGAACGGTTGCACTCGAACGACCGAATGGGGAGGGGATAATGTCGTTTCACAGTGGACTACGAATGCTACGATTTCACGGCGTGTGTGCGTGTTTTCAAAGGGAGCAATGCGACAGACCTGAAAGGCGTTACGTAGCTCATCAATCATGCATACAGCGAAGCTGCTTTAAAGTCGACGGGGGAAGGGAGAAGAAAAAAAAATCGGCGGTCAGACGCGGAATGCTTCCTAGAAGGGAAAAAAAAAAGTGGAGGAAACCGAGCGGATGGGAATCGACCAGGAATCTGTTCGGAAAATGCTTTGACACGAGATAAATGGCTGGAAAATGTGCGAGGACAGCAGTATGGTTTTTTTTAACTCTTTGCGGTCCTACATCGAGTCCAACTTGACGTTCTATTTCGTTTAGGCCAGTCCTGTATCGAGTATATTCTCGATATAGAATTTCACAGTATTATCTAACTTTCACAACAATGCTTTGACAATATTGTATTTGTAACGGGGGGAGATTTTCTTACGCTACACATGTATTGTGATCCAAGAAAAAGATAAGTAAGGTTTTCGTAAGATAAATGGACTGATGGTGATTCGATCGGCAACGATGTTCCAGAAAGGGTTCCAAAAGGGAGTCCAAGACTTAAAGTAAGTACTCACCGAGTGGAGTAAAAAATAGTTCAATCAACATCGTAGGTCCTGAAATATATCCTTCCGATGTGAAAATCAATTTTTCTATTTACGAACGTTCGATGTCGTGTCAGTTCGCGACATATTGAATGTAAACGGCAGAATCGGTTTAAAAGTGCATTGGTTCAAGGTTGCACGACAACACGAGGCAGAGAAAGGAATATCTGAAAATGTATGTCGATCTCTGATCCGAGGGAAGCGAGTTTTGTATTTAAAATGGAAAGAAGACATATCGAACATCTGCGACAAATGTAAAAAAACTAAACTTCCGTATTTCACGTCGAAAGGTTTGATTCCAGGGTCTACGTTGGTCAAACATTTTTCACTCCAATCGATGAGTACTATAAGCACCCAAAATCTTAGAAACTTTGTGAAACATCCTGTATAATTATTTCGGAAAAGCATAAAGATTCTGACGAAGGCACAGCTTGCAAAATGTTTAACTAAACGATAATGATCTTTAATCCGATCGACAAACGATTTTCGTCGCATAAAATCAAGACAGGGAGCCAGCAAGCTACCGGGATATTGATTTTCTCAGTTCCCCAACCCGTTAAGTCCGTTAATTACAAAACCCCGTTCATACTCTAGCGCTTTACAGGAGCGACCGTGTCGACGCGAACCTATGAAACAGCGAAATTGAATAGAACCTACCTCGAAAAGGGTGGGGGGTATGGGGGATACCTATTGAAAGTTTTTCGCCGCGTTACGATTTAGCTGATCGAAACGACCTGTCGTGGATGCAACAAACAAAGCCGCGCCCCGACAATGCACCACACACTCTCCTTTTTTATCCCCTCGCGTAAATACAAGCGGCGTGACGCGCAGAAAATACATGGTTTGTTCCATAATTTCTGTCATAAAATTGTGGAAATAATTTCCCTAATAAAAAAAGCAGAAAAATGCACTTTATACCAGTGCATAGCCTGACCCTTTTCAGGTATACACCCTAACCCCTATAGCTGACGCGTCAGTTTACTGTGAAAAATCGTAAGTGTTGTCTGTCGCAAGAAGTGACTTTTTAAGCAGTGCTTGAAACATAATAATTTTTATCAATTTTGCTTATAGCTGTAATGTATTGTGATTTCATTTACGGAATAAACATTCTTCATAACTATTTCAAGAACCTAAATCGATATCATAACAGTTTTCAAGTCTTGCTTTAACCGATTATTTACTAGAACTTTTCGCGTGGTTCAGATAAAGAAGAGTGTTTCAAAGAAATGTTTTATGAATTTATGAAGATCCAGTCTTACCGTCGAGTGCTTTTCTCGTGGAGTTCGATTAAAACGGTTCCCAGAGACGATAGGTAGTCTCGCCCGTGGAAAATCGAAAGGGTAGTCGCGAACAAAAGTGCCCGCGCAGCTCCTTTTTGCAGCTACCTTTGCCAACGGAAAGAGAGTGTCGAGAGAGATGTTCCTCTGTTTCCCATCGAAAAGGTCAAAGCTCGGTACCTCTCGCGGGATTAACGGTCTTGGAGTTGGGAGACTTTAACCAGGAAAATCCAGGAATGAGTGTGTGTGCACGGAACAGTTTCCATTAGCGTACATCCAACGAAGGACCCGACGCTAATGGTTGTAATTCGGTGTCGGTTGTTCGACGGGAATTTCGAATGAAATCGATCTGTCCTCTAAAGGAACGAACCAATTATCGATTACGACGTACCACGGTTAAGCTTTGCCATCTCTGTGAACGGGGAGGAAACGCGAGTTAATTCCTCGATCTCCGGGGTGTAGGATCAAGCGACCAGGTGTCACGAGTGTGTACCTATCGTTTGAGAATCAGTAGCCGATGAACCGGATTAAAGGCGAAAACGTGTATCCCCCAAGATGTTTGTTTCTCTGAATTGAAACAGCTTCCGACATAAGCATCCCAGACACGATTAATGGACAGACTGGAGAATCGTCGGGCATTATCGACGGAACGATTTGTTCGTAAGACTACGACGATGAACGTGCACGTGGGACTAGTGTATGTCAATGACACAGGGTCCGTTTCAGGAGGCGTTGGTGGCGAGGCTCGGCCCGAACGCACACGCGTTCACGATGGACATCACACCGTTAGCACCACCCTCGGTGCAACTGGTACCAGCGAAGGAGTACAACGGGGCGCCAATCGGGACCAGCTACGACGTCCGTGCTTACATCGGTGAGTGGAAACGTGTACTTGTGTATCCATACCCCTCCGTTCCTACGACGATCGTAACGGAAGCAATCGAGCACCATCGGGATTCTATCCATTATATACGTCCGGAGTGTCTGCTCCAATTAAAACTCCTTTTTTTTGCAATCTCGATCCGTACGACTGTGAATATTCCACCACGATCTCGGGATTGGCCGCGACCGAAAGTAGGGGACGGAAATTGTTTCAGTTCCACATCGATTTTTCGAATTGACTCACCGAAGGAACTTCGGTATCCCGAAAATTTGGAATTTTTGTTTAACTCTGCAGAGTTGTAAGAAACCTTGATAGGAAGCATCGGGTAATTTTTCAGTTTCGCTGATATTCTTTAGGGTTAAACCACCCTGTAAATGATAACGTGTTTTCCTATTTACTGGTATATGTAACTTGAAAACTACAGTAGATATAAAGAAAAATAAAATCGTTGAAAGGTTGTCGGTTAAATAAATAAATAAAAGGAATAAACTAATTTTAGAAGCCATTACATTTTCATCCTAACAATCTTTTAATATCTACTACAGTTTCCAAGATATACAGCGAAATCAAAATAGACACATTAACCTTCAAGGGGTGGTTTCACCCCGAAGAACCGAATATCCCCATAAACGAAAAATTCTTCCATTCCCTACAAATCCGCGCAGTTTAAACAAAAATAAAAAACTTGCAGCGTACGAAAGTTCCCCTGTCAGGGAATGAAAAGCGCGGGACCGCTCTCTGATTGCAGCATTTTGATTCCATTCGCTCCCAATCGGTTCGCGCAGTTACTCGTCCCAATGTTGCTCAGGTTTCCGTGCAACCGTGCGTTTCACGCTCGTTACGATAAATTAAATCCCGTTCTCCATCGACCGCTGGAACCGAGCTGAAACTTTTCGTTTCTGAGAATGACCTCCTGTGGGGAAGGGGGGCGATATAATTTTCGTCGAGTATTCCGTAAATAACGCAGCAGTCCCTCCTGCCCTCGATATCAAATAACACGCTGTGACGACGATTGAAATTCAGCGGAACGAGCGGACGAGAAACTTCACCGGAAAACCACCGTCCGTATGGGGATACGAGTGATACAACGAACCACGAGGCCACCATTGCCGGCCACAACGGTGTACAGTGTGCCAGTGTCCGGCAGTCCGTCCGCCGGCCACCTGGGGGACAAACCGTGTCGAACGACCAGGATCACGTTCGCGGAGAATGAGATCGCCGAGGACGAGGGTAAGCTCGTTATTTCGGAAGCTTTCGAAGCTTCCAACCCCACGATTTTTATCGGTCGATCGAATCGAACCGCGAGCGCCCGTTCTCTTGTCCAAACTCCCCGATAATCGAGTTCCTAAAATTGCGTTTGTTCGCTGAAATCCACGGAAAAACGAGACATCGACGGAGGAACGTGCGATTTTCAGAGAACGCCGGACCACACGCTGCGGTGGAGAAACCGTTTCTGTTCGTCGACGGTCGCGTCGGTCTCGAGGGGAAGCTGGATCGCGCGATCTACGCCCACGGCGACTCGATCGCGGTCCACGTCACGGTCAACAACAACAGCCGAAAATCGGTGAGAAGGATCAAGGTAATGATGCAAATTTTTTTTACAACCCGAATCCAATCCTAATTTTCTGGTATTAATCCCAATTTTACTATATACAGATTACCAAAACGAAGAAAAACAATTTTCCCTTCGACCTTTTTCCACGATCCTTCAAACACTCGACACTGTGCCGTGCCCTTTTTTCTCCCATTCCCTCAAGATCAGTTTCATCGAACCGTGTGCAACAACCTGGACCGACTGGCTTCGTGTTTAATCGATTAATCGCGTCGCACTTCTCACGGTCCCCGTTTCTCCGTCGCGGCATCGCGATATCTATCCCGCGCGACCTGTTTAATTAGCTCGCGACTAATCTCGCCGCCAGATTAAAGTTTAACGAAAGAACGAGTTTGCTGGTGCGTTCGGGACTATGATTACGAATTCATCGCACGGTCTTCTCTGCAGACGCGAAAGGAATACTCGACGAACGTTTTCGTAAACCCGCGGAAATCGGTATAGCCGTCGCGTGAACGTCTCTCGCGAGGACCCACAGCCGTTTTCTCATCGAATTTCCACCGCGTACGGGCCGTTATCGCGGGCATAATCGTCTCCAGAGTGGACGGGGGAGCTCGAATGTCACGGCGATAATACAAAGTGTAACGCAGAAATCGCCAGGGATGAAATCGAGGCCCCGTGGAATAGCTGTCATGAAATAAACATGAATGATGCGCTTCAGTGATTCGAGGCAGACCGTTATCCGGGGAATCACGGTGCTTATGGGTGTCAATAAACGAGGGGAAATTGCACGACGACTGTGTACAAGCTTTGCGTTTCCCTGTATCTGACCACGTAGGTACTCGTACTACTTCGTTCCATACCGCGAAGGGATAAGGGAGTACATTTCCAGCTTTGTTATCCTCGTATCGTTTATAAGATCTAGATGTCACGGGGAAATTGAACTGTGCTATGAGAGGAATAAATATTCTCTAGGGAGTGTGTTTAAATTACTATGTCGCTTTTAGAGAGACTGATTTGTTTAATCAATAATGTGACTTCCATTAGTCTTCATTACTTTCTCCGAACGTTCCATGAGCTCTTGAAACCTAGTTTTGTAGAATATCCCCGTCCAATACGGAGGGGAAATACTCTTGAAGGACGTTGTTGATGTCTTCGTAGACTTTGGAATATTATTCCCATCCATATAATTCCCAAATGATCCGAATTAATTTGGGATTAAATAGAGCTAAATCTAAACTAATACGATGGCCATAATTTTCCAACTGTAATCCATAATTTATTGCCGAGTCATAACGCTCACATAAGGTCGAGCATTACCTTGACAAAAGATTTACTTCTTTTCTGTTGACGAGATATGCACGATTATTTCACCAACAGACACCATTTCAACAACTACCGATTATAACAACCAGTTTTCTCGCTGCACAGATATCAAAATACTTGAGTCAGTGGATCGCCTATAAAACGGGTAACTCCTGGAACAAGCGTTGAAACTAGTGCAACAGGATGAAAACTGGCGAGAATTTCTCGAGGTCATTTTATTCTGGAATGGAATCCCAGGAATTCAAAGCCCTCGGTGCTCCTTTGATATTCCCATTTCAATACGTTCATTCCATATGCACGGTGGATACTAGCAAGAATATACGGTGCCTGTTGCGTCTGACCACGCACGATCCTCTATCACTTGGACCTTGGTCTCTTCATTTACCCTTGGTACTCTTCATTTTTTTTTTTTTTTTTAATTGTTGAAAACGTCTAGCTCTTGCATAGTACTTGAAAGGCGGTACAGTCGATATATTACGCGTGATACTCTAATAAGAAATTAATTATCGAAGACCGATTAACCGCCATTATAATCGTCGACGTTCAAGTAACGAACAATCGAACGAAGCCTGGTAAACGTGTCGCGTAAGGGACACGAAATTTCCACGTGGACACGATGGAAATTACCGCAGAAGTTTCGCCATAGCGGTGGAACCCCTTCGAAACAAACATAATCGCTTTTATTAGCGAGCGGAGAGCCCCGAGAAGCGCGACTGTATACGCAAAGTGGGGAGGGCATTAAGCCGGAACAAAATTACATTCGTGGAACACGTGGCGCGGAACTCTCGCCTAATCCGTACACCGCGAGTCTTTCGACGAGAAGCTGCCGGAAATGTTGCGGTTTAAATTCGACCAAACCGACTCACACTAACGTTAATACGGAAACGTCCTGAACCTATACGCTCTGCGATTTCGTGAAAGGATCGGAAAACAGTATACACAAAGCCCCATACATTTTCCCTCGTTAAAGGTGACCTCAAACTGCCGAGGGTTAAGCATTGCAGGAAAAAGAATTCCGTCCGCGTTTCATAATGACCTCGACAAAATAATAATGAACACAAAGAACACCGTACGGATACTATCCCGAGATCTCCGCCAGGTTCTTTTCCGTTCTCGCCTATCTCCACGGTGTTTCGTTCCCGTAAACTTGAACGGTCCTTTAAACCAGGGATTAAATTAGTCGGATAGAAATCGTTTCCGGGCGAATTGAAAAATCCTCCGGCGTGAATTACCACAGTGAAAAGACTCGCCGGGAGAGTCTGGGAAAGTGCTGTAATTTCAGCCAAAGAATTCCTTTAAGAGGAAAGGAAACGGCTGATGGAGGGAAAGGGTGAAGAGGGTATGAAAAGGGGCGCGACGTTCGAGTTTCACTCGCGGCGACAGAAAGGACACAGGTTGTACAAAGCGGTCGCGAGCGCTTTCGCGTCGATTGCCTTTGCGGGCACGGTTCATTAGCGAGCCTGGTGAGCATTGTTTGAAAACGGGAACGGACGCGGGGCTTGATACGGTGGTCGTGTGTGTCTGGCTTGCACGAGTTTCGAATACATACGGATATGTATACACGTCCGCCCGTTAACTTTGCCCCTCCGACAGTTCGCCGAACAGAACAGACGACGACGAAAGCCCGACGATCGCGTTTGTTCCCTTGAAACTCGGTGGTACACTACCGCCGACCCCCTGTCGGCCCACTCGTCTTGAAACGGAACTTTAATCTTTCCCCCGTGTCCGAACAGGTGTTCATCGTGCAACACGTGGACGTGTGCATGTTCAGTAACGGGAAATTCAAGAACGTGGTGGCGATGCTTTCGTCGCAGGAGGGCTGCCCGATAGGGCCGGGAACCACCATGAAACGTAACTACACTCTGAGGCCCATCAAAGGCTCGACGAAGAACTGGATCGCTTTGGAAGACAGTTACGCGAGGGCCGGCGCCACTCTTGCCTCGACGGTCGTTTGCCCGGGAAACGGGCCAGAGGAACGAAACGTTTTCGCGATATACGTCTCGTACTATGTGAAGGTAATACGGTTCGACGTGGTTGAGGGTAGTTTGTGCTCCTTTCTCTAGACCGGTGTAACTAATGTCGGAGCCGTTATCGTAAAACCGACACCGGAGACTTTTGCTTCCATTCGCCGGTTTTTATGTATGTTTCGAGAATCAAGAGTGTGCTTGAGAATATTCTACTCGATTTGTTTTGGTAAATCTCTCACTCGATTTAAGCTCGACTTGAATTTACATTCGAGTCGAGACAATACGAGGATTGTTAACACTTTACTGGCAGGAGGGTTCTTGTGTTTGCAAATATACAACTTCAGGTGTTCTAAAAATATTTAGAAACTACTACTTAACTTACTATTCTAGTTTTTATTTAAGATGGACATACTACTACGTCAACCAAACTTAGCATTTGTTCTTGAAAAGACGTACTACTACGATCGAATCACGATCCTCTGACTCGTTTCGATTTACGCCTCGATTTCCCCCAGGTGAAGCTACTAATCTCGGCGATGGGTGGGGAAGTGTCTCTGAAGCTGCCGTTCACGTTAACTCACAGCAACACGGACTCCGATTTGGTTGGCTTTCCATCGCCGATGAAGGAACCCGCGAAAGTTCTCGGAAAGTCCAGCGAGGAGGTCATTGAGTGTTCCGAGAAACAGGAGGAAAACAACGGGCACAAATACAAGGGTTGCAAACTGGAACCCATTAAAGAGAAATCGAAGGAGTTAAGGGACGTCGACGTGGATCTGATAGAACACTGCGAGGAAGGTGACAGCACCTGAGGGCAGCTGCAAACGACCACCGACGCGACACGATCGTCAACAAAAAACAACAGCGGGACGAGGAACGTTAAGAACTCGAACCACAAGAATTGCAAATTGGGATTCAATATACAGAGGGCTTGGTGCTGCTTCAGGAGAGCCTCTTAGTAAAGGACTCGGTTCCGAGATGATAATCCCACTTCGAATTCGTAGTCTGTGCCGAACGATTGGGGCAAATTTTATCGGAAAACGGTCTGCTCGGCAAAGAAGCCTCGGATTTGTGAATCGCGTGAATGGAAAGGAAACTAATGGAAATGAACCGAATGATCTGGTGATTGTTGTGTCTCGTAGACACTGGAGATTTTTATTGGCGAGGGGTTGAAAACAAAATCTATGTACAGCTTCCTCTTCTTGTATTCTGAAGGAATGGGAAAATCATTGAAACTTTATTCTTTATAAAAATGTGTATTTATGGATAACTATGTAACGAACGTTTCCACTTTTGCCAATGAAAGCTCACTACAAACTCGTGCAGTTCCTACTCACGGCATTCCATTTTAGGCGGAAAGTACCTCGTATCTCTAGGCTTGGTTTTTTTTTTGTCTTGAAATGAATGTATTATTGAATGTGTAACAGAAGTAAACGCTACATAAGTCATTGTACCTTGTAGAATAAGACAGTCCAAAGGTATCTTTTATCTTAACGAATGTCTGAATCTTGTACATGCAAAATTGTACAGACTATACCTTTATCATTGTAAATAGTAAATTACTTTAATATAATGGTATAAGAGTATGTGTGAAACATTTGCCTAATGTTGCGAAGCTTCTAAATGATTTACTATTAAACAGGATTTTTGTGTAAGATATAAGGTGAAATTCGAATGTTTTTCTTTCGAATTGAAACCTGCAAGTAAACGTGTACCCTGATTCAAAGATATTTCTCCCTGCAGCCTATCGATGAGTCCAAATATAAATGCGTGTAAAATTGATTTACACAAAACTGCAAAAATTTTTAGTAACATGTTCGCCAAATAAATACAAGACTGGATATATAACATAATGACTCACCGTGCCACTGTGCCCTGGCATACCCCCTAACAATGGACTTGCTTGCATTGCTACTTTCGTCTTGCACATTAATTAAAATATATTTGAATCTTCCATGACCATCGATATCCACATCAGGCACTTTGTCTAAAGACTGAGACATTATGGCGAAACGTCTACTGTTCGAAAGAATCGCTGAAAAACACAATATTAAAGGATATTTTAATTGCATTATTGTTTCAACGTAACCTATAATTATTAGAGGGATTTTCCCTGATAATATTTCCCTGACAAAGTTTATTGAAAAAATGTTCGCAGTGGCAGATTAACTAGCATTTAAACATTTTAAAACCCTATAAACAAGGAGCTGTTAGTTAGTAAATTTCAATAAATACCCTTTAAGATTGAGTGCCGGCCAGTCAGTGATCCAACTCCAAAATTCTGGATAGTTGCCGTCATATGGAATCCACGATAGATGGCCTTATACTACTTATATCGATACGGTAAAACAAGATAACCGGTCCAGCAGAAATTCGTGTCTGTATATTTTACCAGAGAGGAAATCTGTTGTTCCCGGGCAAGTGCTGCATGAAGCGGCTAATTCCGGCATAATAGTAGGAATCTACCCGTTTTGGTTGCACGCTGCCAACATATACAAGAACCCATCCGACTGCACAGTTGCACATCAGTAAACGCTCGATAATTTCCTATTCGTTAATTGATTACTGAGAACGTCCCTCGCTCGCACGTATTGAGCACACACGTGCGCGTACCTTTCTCTGTCGTCCAGCACGTCCAGGGGATGGAAAAAGAATCGTTTGTGTAGAAGAGGTTCAGTTCCGGTACGAGAACCGATTAGCAACCTCATCGTGGTGAGACCCGGGCAATCGGTATAGTCATCGGTAAAGTATTACCACAGACGAGATATAAGAATAGACCTAACATGCAATGTAATTTTCTGTTCCATGCTTCGAGGGCGTCAGAAAACCCCTTACCATTTTAGTGTCAATACCCGACGTTACTTGCCTTACATATGTATATTTGTAACAGATAAATTCAGAATAGATGTAGTTTCATAAATAGTTTTTCAAATCTACATGTGGGAGAATATATACACCACTTTTATTAACATTTACATATTTATAATTTATATGAGAGTATGAATAGTTTTACTGCCTATTGTAAGAATCTTAATACGCACGAACAATTACTTTCTGGCAATTGGTAAATTTGTACATATGAATTTACTTACACGTTATTTACTTACAAAAATTTTATTTATTGCGAGTAATTAAATAATGAACGTATGTTAATATCTAGCTGCTACATTTTCCTGAAAATTAGTGTCAAAGAATGCAGCAACTGGTCAGATTAGTTTCGTAAATAAATCGAAACCCTGTATCGACACATTGTTTTTTAGGCTATCAAATATCACACGGAGTCTTTTAGGAAGTAGTAAAATCTTTTATTCAAATTCAATGAAATACTTTCAGGTACCCAGTTTAGAGCTATGAAATTAGAATGTTCAAGAAAAGGTAAAGAAGTTTCATATTATTCTCATTCATTACAATTTCCCTTGCGGGAATGCCTTACCGTAAGAGCCATCTCGTGGCCGCGGGATTCCGGGAATCGGGTGACGTCACGGCGTGCGAGCGAGAGCGGTAGAGCGAGCCGCGGTATCGGTGCTCTCCGTCGGTGTTGACGGGTGCCGAGGAATTTCGGTGGTCTATGGGAGGGAGGTGTGCGAGCGAGAGAGTACGGTAGAGCGTGCCGAGTATCGGTGCTCTC